CCCGCCTCGGCCTCCCAGAGTGCTAGGATTACAGGCGTGAGCCACCGCACCCGGCCAAACTGCTTTTAATATTTAAATGTAATGTCCCAAAGGAATCTGGGTCTGTAGAAAACTATAATAGTTGATCACAATGATTTTGTCATAAAAATATAAAAATATCTAAACTTCACTGGTGTACTATATATATTTTATATATATGATTCAGAAAATTTCCAACAGGTTTTAAAATAATGGTCTCTCCCCCAAGAGAATAACTAAACTATCCCACTTCCTAGTTGTTGGGATAAAGAGTAAAAAGCAAAAAGGCACTTACCTCCCTTTTTCTACCAAGAGTAAGACATCCAGTTTTTCCCCATTTTGAACCATTGTGCTGATTGCTGAAGGGAGAAGCAATAAAAAGCATAAACATTTTTTTTTTACAGTATTACACTAAATGCCCACAAGACACAATTGTTAATACTACTTAGTCATAAGCTCAGGAGTGAGCCATCATAATTGTACAAAAAGCTATCATTATTGCATGTAATAAAGAATTGTGTTCCAAAGATAAGAGGGAAGGAAAAAAAAATCTTACTCAGCTCTTGCAGTCTTCTTAAGTGCATTCTACCTTCCTGAACTTCTTGCATTTGAAGGCAAAAATGCAAACTAGATTTGTCCATAGCAAACCAGCCTTTTCTCCACTGATCCAGGGCATGACAGTCTTTGTAGAAGAGTTGACCAATCAAATCATAGTCAGCCTCTGTTAAGCTTTCAGCAAATAAGGGAACAAAATGCTGTTAAAACAAATACAAAAAAGTAATAAAGACAGTGAAAATGGGAAATTCCTTCCCTATCTACAGATATGACGGAACATGGAAAAATTATCTTCGTTTTTCCTTTTAAAGATTGATAAGTAACCCAAAATTCGAAACAATTATTTAAACTTATCAGTCTTAAAACTGAGTAGCTATAATGCATTTTCATATGGTAGCACCTTAAATCTTTTTTCTTGCTAAATACAGAACTGAAATAGGAAGACATTCTCTTAATTGATTTGTGGCACTTTTCAAAACGTCAACCTTCAATGTTTTTCTCCTTTTGTGTCTTTTACGGAATTTGTTCCCTTTACCTTTGTAGACATCTTCAGTAAGATATCTACCTACATAAAAAGACATACACAGAAGTGACTTTACAATATTGAGAATATCTTAACCAATAAAAACATGGCCTTAATTCAAAAAATGATTTTCCCAAGGTCCTAACCATCAACTTTCTCCTCTGTGTAAGGCTCTCAGAAGGTAGTTCTTAACCTCTTTTAATTATATTCTTTGAACACCTAATGAAGAATGACCTTCTTCCCAGAATCTTACATAAAATTTTCATGGATCCCTGAAGCTCACCACAGACTCCAAGTTAAGAATCTTCTCTGGATTTAGGGTAACAATATAATATTTAAATACCTTGGCTATTGCCTCTGTCCATTTTCTTTGAGCTTGAGATGTTTCAGCTCCAAATAAAAACACACGTTCTGAGGGTAAGTAGATCTCAAAGATAAAGACGGGCCTACAGCAAACATGAATAAAAAGGTACCACAGGTTATCTTTGGCTCTTTTAAAACCTTCCTTACCTGTTTTAACCATGATAGTCATTAAGTGAACACAAAAATTTTGTCTTTAGTCCATTATTTTAAATAAGTCATAAAATTAAATGACTACTATGGTCAAAAATTAAATGCTATATATTCACATAAGACTTGAGGCGAATATGTTATCCCATCGTATTAATATATTTTAATTTTCCTACTTTTTAGTGAATTACCAAAGGAACTTTCAGAAGGTATGAGTAGGCTTTAAGACACCATTAAACTCTTCTAAAGGAAGCAAAGGAAGAACTGAAATGATAACAAAACCCTTATTACCTGGTATAATAATTATCTCAAAACACTTTTCATCTCTAATTATTTAATGGTAGACCTACCCGGTATTTAAATAGAAGTCCTCTTTCTGTATAGCCAGGCAGATAACTTCATTGATATTTATGGTGCCATAAGGTGTGGTAGACTTGTCATTTTCATAGTAACTCAAGAAGCCTCCTTCCAGAACACACCACTTTTTATTTGTCTCTAAGAATGCAAAACAAAGCAAATAATAAATTAACCTGTATCACAAATCTAATTTATATATAAATATAAATATTTGGTTAGTTAGACCCATATATTTTTTCCACTGTGCTAAGCAGCTAAGCAACAACCCCTCTTCACCCATGTGAAAGCTGGGTCCTTTACTCTGGAGAAATCAGAACCACTAGATTCGAACATGGGAGGCTCAAGCATTGCCTGGAGGCAGAGGTGAGATTCACGCTGGAAATAAAGTGATTCCATGGCATTCAATATACTAAACAGTACAACTTCCCCAGCTTTATGTACAAAATGCTAGAGCCAGGAATATCAAAGACTCCCATCCCATACTCTCAGCTAGAGACTGGTGGAATCTTCTGACTATCTGAATCCAACCATTTGAAAGAAAACTTCCAAGAAGCGATTCTCTTATAGAGCCTGCTTAAAAAGCACAACCATTACTGACATGTTGATTTCAACCCAGTAATACTAATTTTGGATGTCTGACCTCCAAAACCGTGAGAGCATGCATTTCTGTTGTTTCAAGTCACCAAGTTTGTGGTAATTTGTTCCATCAGCCATAGTAAAGTAATACGGTAGGGAAAATAACAACTCTCTTGTAAAATGGCTGTGAGAATTTGTGATGAGCAGAGTGATGACCATATAATAATCAATGTTATTGTTAAAACAAATTTTAAAGAAAGCTTCCAACATGAAAGACAGAGACCAAACACAAAATAACATTTTGTAACCTATAATTAATATCAGACTGGTAAGGGAAGATACTGTATCCACACAACAAGAACGGCATTCTCTGAAAGGAAAAAGAAGACACGTACACACATACACACACAAAATTCTTGACACATAAAAATTTTAAAAAGGAAATCTTAGAAAAGGAACTCTCCCCAAAAGAGAAACAAGAAATAGAAAATAAGATAATATCAAATGATCAGTTTATAAGGTCCAACATCCAATTAACATTACTTCTAAGAAAAGAGAAGGAAATAAAAATGAGAAAATTTACCACAAATGGATAAAGTTTAGAAATGAAAAAATAAGGAACAAATTTCTGTTTTCCATTAAAACCATGTGCACGTATTGCTTTGGTAAAACAAAAATCAGATTTAAAATACTGGTAACAAGGATCATCAATTAGTGGCAGACCAGGGGTTGGAAAAAGGAGCCATTGCAGACAGGGGTCTTCCCAGGTTTCTTTCACTCCCACTGAAGCCTGAAACTTACGTGCAACTATAAAGTGTGCATTTACTACTTGAATCTTCTACTGGGCTTTACATTATTACACATTCCAGAACGACCAACGTTACTCCTTGCATTTAGCTCATTTCCTGACCGAACCTCAGGCACTGAAAGTATAAATGCAAAGGAAGCCAAAGTGACAAATGCCAATCAGACAGAATAACTTCGAATACCGTGCCTCTGCATTGCCAGAATTTATTATTCTTCATCATTCCGTTCACTTTCCCCACTTTAAAAAACTAAAACAAGGAGTCTCACTAATTGAGCAGCAAAAAAAATCATATATATTATATATTTCCCATTGAAGACACTAATGTGAAAACTAAATTCTAAATTTGTATTATTTTCATTTCTTTTTTAATTAGGTAGGTTTTAATGACATGATTCAAACGTAGTTTGCCAAATAATTCTTTGAACAAGGTAAAATATTAAACTCAAATATTTCACATCAATGATACCATAAAGAAAAACTGTTTGGAATTTTCAGTTTCCCTAGATAAAGGAAATTATTTTAGAGTTTTCACCGCATCACCCTGTTTTTGGACTCTAGAGATTGTACAATTCCTCAAATTGTAAGTTACTGCCAAGAATGAAATTATACAAGCAACCTGCAATTTTAGATTTAAAATATACACTAGATCATTAGTCATAGACATTAAGACTAATAAGATCTATAGATTAAATATAATGAATAAAGTCTACAAATTAGATAATTTACAAAGTTTAATCACCGTTCTACTTTAGTGTATTATTTAAAAGTGCCCTTCTTTTTAAGAAATACATACTGTAGTACTAGGAGCAAAGAGGCATCCTTTCTGCAGCTTACTTTGAAGTGGTTCTAACAATAAGTATGCATATATAGGGAGACCATGAGAGAAACAGATACACATACGCTCACATATATATGCATCTCTGTGTGTACTATAATACATGTGTGACTGTGTACGCATACACATGTACAGAAAAGAGAACAAAGCAAATGTAAAGTGTTAATATTTGAGCTATCTGGATAAAAGGTATATGGGAATTCTTTTCACTAGTCTTGTAACTTTTCTGTAAATTGCATATTAAGTCAAAGTAATTAAAAATTAAAAAGTTAAAATATATATATTAAACTGCTTTTTAAATGTTCCTTCATCGTATCACTGGAATTTTAAATGGGGGTGGGGATGAGAAGAAAAAGAAAGAAACAAGACAATGCATTTGGCCTCAAAAAACAATCACTGAGAGAAACACTCAAAAGGTAGATGCCTTGAGAGCTACAGGATCACTATATTCTGAAAAACAAATCGCCAAATGAAAAGTCCAATCACAACTGGCAGAAGTAAACAGCACAAAGAAATCCGTTATGAGTACTGGAAAGGAAAGCTAACAGAACCCAAGCAATTCCTAGTAGAAAGTGAAATGTTATTCCAGGGCCCTCAAATCCAGAGCCACAGTAGATTCCCTGCACATTTAGATGAAAATCATGAAATGCCATAATTTTTAAATGAATATTTATTAAAGATTTCTAATATATAAGAAAAAGCAAAGCTACACTACTAATCAAAGGGAGTTATAAAATAGTTTCAAAACAATGCACTCAGATGACTAGAATAATTTTCGTAAGAGAATAAAGGAAAAAGTACACAATTATTCAGTACATGGATAATCACTGGCACAGATTAGGAATTCTACCCCTGTTCTCAGGCAGCTTGTAATCCAATGAAAGCGGAGATGTGTTTGGAATGATAACCATCAGGTGGTCTGTTTAGTGGGATAGAAGCATTCAAGGAGGGAAGCTACCATCAGACTAGAGCAATAAGAAAAAACTGCACAGAAAGAAAAATCCTTTAAAATGGTCCTTTATGACCAAGGTGGGAATTTTCTAAGGTAGCAAAAAAATTCATTCCAAACTTCCATCATTCCATAATTCTGGGAAAGAACAGTGTGAGGGAAGCCATAGAAAGGTGAAGCTGCAGAAGCCCTATCTGGCTGAAGACCAGACCGCACGTGGAGCTGGGAAACGGGAAGCCAGACCGCGGGCTGGAGGCGGAGGCCAGACCCCGAGAGTCCTACACGACAGGTGTTCGGGAGTGTGTCCCTCTCTTGGTAGACAAGAGGGAGCCATTTGAAGGCCTTAAACAAACAGCACCAAATGAAATGATCATGAAATAAGCATGAATGCAGAATCCAATTATGCAAATTCTAATGGGAAACAAATGACAGATCTCTTGAAAAAGGTGGGTACAAGCTCGTTTTACGTCAGAATTGTAGCCTTGGAGAGATTTAGTCCTGAAGCATTATCACTTCTACAACCATTTGTTAGCTTTATTTACATCAGTGAAACGGGCCAGAGGTTGGACAAGGCAGGCACAGATACTTCCTTTGAGCACTTATAATAACAAAGCTGTGATAGGAAATACTGACATTCCCATGGATTTGGGAAGCAACGAAAAGTTTTAGCGCGATTATGTTGGACGATATTAGTTTGCTTAGGCCAATTTAGATGTGCACTCCTGAGTTTGACTTTGAGAAACATCAACACCCTCCATGAAACCTTCTCACCTGCAGATGTCCCCCTGTTACTAGAAGATGTGCACAGAATGAGGACCACAGAACGAGTCGTTCTCAGGACTCAGCTGTACAATAAACAGGAGCGCGTGTGTAAGATGTAAGTGAAGTGGGTAGACTGGCCAGAGGGGTTTATTCACTCTTTCTGCTCAATCTTCATGCTTAGATCTGCCAAGAAAAACATTACTGTGGGCGTTAGCTAAGCATGGGTAAAGAACTCCAGAGGTGACCTATTTTAATACTACTATGGAATGGTAGGGATAATAGAGTTGAGTACCATGGTTGCCAGCTACAGCCTGTAGGACAACATGCCCAGACTCACAGGCCAGGAACCTATGTGTTTATACATAAGCCCTTCACTACTCCTCTTCCTCCTCCTCCTCATCCCCTCATATTTGTGTGCCATGCACTGTTCTAACATTTTATATGCACTAACTCATTGAATCCTCAGAACAACCTATTAGTCAGTTGTATTAATATTGTTACACACCCCCTTCCTTGTACCCTTTCCAAAGGCACGTAATTGATTTCCCAAGATCACACAAGTAGTATCAGAGCTGGGGGTGAAACACAGGTAGTTGGGTTCCAGAAGCTACCCTCTTAACCACTGCACATAATGCCTCTCTGTCCCTGTTATATGCTTGGACTATGTATGTCCATTTTAAAAATGTATGAGGGTAGAGAAGCAGTCATACCTTCTAATACATATGTGTTTAATCAATCTGAGGTAGTTAAGGGGGAACTATTATTTTTCAAAACCGGGAAGTTGTTTCCTGATGAAGAATTTCCTCAACTGACAATATTTAACATCCCCTTAAAATAGTAATACACATTAGGAATCCTCTTTATTCTTTTCATTTAAAATAGGTGATATGTTTTAGCCTCGAAAAAACATTTTTAAGCTACACAACCTAGGCTTTCATAGAACAAAAGGTCTTCAAAATTCCTCAGTGTTCATCTACAAAATTGAACGAACTGAAATAGAGTTTCTAGTAAACCATATCACCATTTTCTTTTTAAAAATCGAACACTGTGTAAACAAATCAAATTTAAGATACCAAGGGAAAAAAATATGGTTGAGGGGGAAAAACGGAAAACAAAACAAGGACGCTATTATTCAGCTCTGTACTTAGGTTTAACAAGAGCTATCAATCTTTCCTTCCATGAACACTAAATTGAAAAGGAAAAAAAAGAAAAAGAAAAATACAGATCAGTCTTCATAACCAGAGGCCAGAGAAACTTCAAGTTATGAAAACCTGAACTGGCAATTTGAAGCCTCTAACTCTCGGAAGGACTGCATGCATTTTTATTCCCGGACTTTTGTCTCCATTTTTAATCCTTTTGCTCTATGGCCATCCTGACAGGTACTGATGGAGTGGTCTCGTCCAGGTGCTTGCCTTTCAGAGGCAAAGGTGACAACCACACTTTAATCTCTAAATCTTTCCAAATAATTCATTTTTTTCATAAATCTAGTGCTCAATAGCAGTAAGAACACTGCAGAATCTTGAGAGAGGGAAAAAGAAACAAACCCATAACTTTAACTTTCGTGATAGTTCAACTTTTCCTTTCTTCATTTTTAAATAGATTCTTTCTGCACAAAATATGCTTTGTACCAGCAATTGTATCTTTTGATATACAGATCAAAACCAAAATATTAATATGGGACTCTCATGTTTACACTGGTACTAACTTGCCTAAAGAGACAGTCATTCATTCAACAAATATTTATCATGTGTTACTATGTGTCGACACTGTTTTAGGCACCAAAGATTTCATAACCCTGAAAAAGCCAGAAAATGCCGATGCCCCATTGAGCTTTCACTCCAGGAGAAGGGAGAAACAAATACATGAGGACGGGATCGTCTGAGACCATGCAGTCAGCACTACGACAGACATAGGCAGGGTCCTATGGAAGAGGGAGCTGCAGTGGGTTCACACTTCAGTGCGGTGCCAAAGCGGCCTCACTGACCAGTGGGCATTGAACTGATTCCTGAAAGAAGGAGCCAGACTGGGAGAAGTTCTCTCCTTGCAGAGTGAGCAGTAACTGCAACAGTCCAGAACGGGCAGAAAAGGACGCGGCATGTTTCAGTAACAGAGAGGAAACCAACGCACCCTGACAACATGAGCTTAGAGAGGAATGGCAGGAGATGAAGGGAGGAGGAGGTCTCAGAAGGTCTTGTAGGTCCCAATAAAGAATGGGAAGCCACCAAATGTGCCTGAGCAATGGAACTGCATGATCTGATTTACATTTCAAAGGTGATTAAGCCTGTTTTTTGAGGAAAATTTCAGAGGGAAGCTAGGACAGAGACAGGGAGACAAATAAGGAGAGTATTGCAGCCTAGCAGAACGCGAGGGCGACTGGGAGTAGGAAGTGGAGATGGAGAGTAGCCAACTGGCTGATAAACTGGATGGAAGAAATAAAGACAGTCAAACAATGCCCTACAGGGAGACTACTTTAAAACGAAATCTTTGCTGTTGTGCAGCATATCCAAAATACAAAAGCTTACTTTCATAGTACTTAAAAAAAGAATGTTTTAAAATGGGAAAATACCCCTAATTACATTACACATACAGAGAATGAACTGGTTTCTGTTTTTTGAAATAAGTTTTAACCAAAAAATCCATAGTTAATTTATAAAAGATTAAAGAATGATTTAGTTACAACTGTTTAGAACATCGATGTGATACTCAAGTAATTAAAAAAATCTATTTCAAGGAAATATTAAAGAAAACTGATAAGTTTATAAATGTTATAACCATAATCATCAAAAAATAAACACAAGCTTATTTTTTAACCCACAGAATGATTTTGATACTTTGAAACACTGCAGGAAAAAAATCCTGTATCCCAATCCCTAGTTGATCTTTGTAAAAGTCAAGTGGTTTGAAAAGCGAGTCTACGATCTCAGTATTTAGAAGCAGCATTCTAGAAAGATTTAACACTTATTATAAGTACATTAATTTCCTTATTCAATTATTTTAGTAATTGACATAGTCAATTCACAAGTTATCCAGATACTTTACCTTTTCTGATCAGTTAACTTTTGAGTTAAGAATTAATTACTAATACGAGCAACAGAAGATAAAAAAAACCTCAGTAAATTTACCATTTATTATTGGCAAAGCTGAACAAAGGAAGACAAAAATCAATTGCTGAAAGAACCAAAATCAACTAAATTGAAAGGATAAAATGCTCTGCCATCCTACTGTCACCTGGCTGTGACACTTTGACCAAGATCGAAGTGTTACAATAGCAAGGATGACACAAGTCAGGTGTGAAATTCTGCTTCCTGCTGAGCTTCTTCGTTTGTCGCGTGAAAATGAGCATAACATCAACCGTCTTGCAGACTGTTATGAGGATTACAATCAAGGTATGTGAAGCAAAGCAATGCCTTACATATAGTATATGATCACGAAAGGACGGCCACTCTTTTCAGAAAAATCTAATAAAGTATGGTTAATTCCAATATATTCTGCTTTGGGAAATAATTTTTTTTTGGAAATAAAGCATTTATAATACCAAAATAATCACTTCAAATGCACAAGTGTCAGGATTGATGCTCTAAAGTGAATTTGTTTGTCATCCTCTTGTTCCTTTGATCAAACGATGCAGCGGAATGCACCACCCAGGGATCAACACAGGCGCCTGAGCCAGTCAATGCCACGGTCAACCGGCCGCCACAGCTTAATTTCTCTTAGACTTTCTTTGCTCCAGGAAGATAGATCTCACTATATGTTCCTGCCTATAGTTCTTGAATTAGTTTGAATGTATGTAACGTGAGCATGAGGCCTGTATCTTACTTATTTTTACATTCCCACTGCCTAGCACAAGCCTGACACAAAGAGTTGGATGGATAAATGCTCATTGTGACTCTGCTCAGAGAATTCTCCAAACCTGCAACCTTCCTATTAAATCAAAGTGATTCCCATCACCTTTTGTGAAACCAAGCTTAAGTTTGATTTTATTTAAACACACACATACACATACTGCATCAGAACAAACTGAGCTACTTGGTATCACTTAGTACTCTACCTGAACATGGCCAGAAAACTTGCCAGTTTTTCCTATGTGTTCATATTTATCTATATTATCTCCCAGTTGGGGTGTCCATCCCTAAGGGAAGGAGCTGAGTTGCCCTTTTTTTTTTTTTTTTTTTTGCAATAACCCTTAAAATATGAAACAAAATCAGTTGGCCCGAAGGTAGACATCAGTGAACACCAGTGAGAATTCACTTGGCATTCCAACCAGTATAAATCCCTGCTGCACTACATGAAATATTATCTGTGCCTGGAAGCATTTATATATGCTCAAAAAGTATCTCTCTACTGCAAGATCAAATCTAACATCTTAAGGGAAAAAAATCAAAATTTAAACCTAATTATTTTGATAATGGAATAAAGTGTTATCATATAACCAAATCTAAAAGAAGCATGAAAGATACCTTCAAGCAGTTTTTTCTCTGAAGAGAGTTTGGAAGCAGCAGCAGGAGCTTGGTACAAAAAGTCACAGAGAAACGTGGACTGCGAAGACTCTTGATTTAACCCACCCTCAGAATGAATGTCATGCTGAGGGAAATCTAGAAAAATTGAAGAAATAAAACACTTGAAATTTAAAATGTAAACAATTTTCCCTGTTTATGAATATGTACGAGTTTTGCGCTAGAAGAAAAACTACTTTAAATTTACCACAGAATAAATATACAGAGATATTTATTGTACTTTGCATAAAATTTGCAAATAAGCACTTAATTCATGTTTATTATTCACATATGAAAATCGGATTTAATTTTGGTGGAAATGATTATGTGGGATTAACTATTTTAATCTTCCATTTATAAGATTAAAGAAACAGCAAAGATTTATTTCCTAAACTTTTTCTTGAAATGACATAAAAATAGGCTTAAGCATCTTTCATATTTTTGGTAATTACATTTTCTTCATTCTGACAGGTTTTTCTTATGATTTGAGAAAGAAACAGATTTATGCTTCAGTACTTTAAGGCATCTATCAGACGAGAACAGGCTGACGCAGAGAAGGTGACAGACCTGAGAATTTGTTGTGATAGAGGAATTCCATCTGCAGGCTCTGGCCGGCCCTCTTGGCCAGTAGGTAGGGCGTGCTGTGCACGGGGTCTCCGGTCGCGCACATGACGTCCGCTCCGCTGAACAGCAAAGCCATTGTTTCCAGAACATCTGGTTTCACTACAGCAGCACACAGAGCCTGGTCATTACAGAAAATATACCATTTAAGGGAAGAAAATAATATTCTAGCTATCAAAACGAGTAAAAGTTTGACAATTCCTTTATGAGATAAAGTTTATACCCCTTTTTTCCTAAGAAGGTTAATAATAATAATGCTCTGAATTAGGCAATAGGCGCAGAAGGTCTTCTTCGTGTGAATTTCATTGTAACCCGATTCCTTCACATCTCAATTCATTATTTTCTTACTATGATGTCCCTTCAAAACCTAATCCATCATATTTGCTTTGGAAGATACGTTTATGCTCACATACTAAGATAATGGCTGATGCTCAGAACATTCAAAACATTTCAAATGGAATAATGAAGTATCCACTAAATGTTTTGTCATATGAGAGTTGTTAATACATTTTTCCAATTTAATCAGGAGCTGCAGAATATTTAAATTATCATTGTGCTATGGGAATTCGAAAGATGACTGCAAAGCAAATTCAGGATCTTTCCCTTTGTGGGCTGGGGATGGGGGAAGTCAGAACAATATGCAAGAGGCCAGAAAACAATATCACTGACTTATGTTATGCATCATCCTTGCACAAACAATATGAATGGCGGGAACTGACCTTTTTGCTTTTTTTGTATTGAAGTAATAAGCTGCCTCCACATCTCTCCTCCTCCTTTCTTCCCACCTTATGTCAGTTCTCAGAGCTCACTTTATTGGCTTCCCATTTGCTTCTAAACCCTCAATTACGGCACCTTGATCAGACTGTAGCCTTGGACTCACCACTTTAACTCCTTCCTTACAAGGTGTGCCTGGACAGATCACTGGTTAATTTGCCCTGTGATGCAGGCTCAAGACAGTCACTCATCAGCTGTCCCCCTAGGCAGCTCAGAATACATGAATAGAAGGCAAGCAGTCTCAGGACACATTGACAGTTCCTACCCTGGAGTGGCAGCTGTTAAAAAAGTACTCATCTCTTCTACCATGGACTAGATTTGTGGCCCCCAACCGCCAGGCCGTGGACCAGTACCAGTCCATGGCCTGTTAGGAACTGGGCCACACAGAAGGAGGTGAGTGGCAGGTGAGCAAGCAAAGCTTCGTCTGTATTTACAGCCACTCCCATTGCTCACATCACCACGAAGCTCCACCTCCTGTCAGATCAGCAGCTGCATTAGGGTCTTATAGGAGTGTGAACCCCACTGTAAACTGCACATGTGAGGGATCTAGGTTGCATGCTCCTTATGAAAATCTAATGCCTGATGATCTGAGGTGGAGCTGGGGCGGTGATGCTAGCTCTGGGGATCGGCTGCAAATACAGATTATCATTTGCTGAGAGGTTTGACTGCACAATAAATATAATGCGCTTGAATCATCCTCACCTCCAGTCCATGGAAAATTGTCTTCCATGAAACCAGTCCCTGGTGTCAAAAAGGTTGCAGACCACTGGTCTACATGACCTCCAGAATGTCCTTCACATCAGAATGAAGAAGGCTGAATTCTTATACCTGACTTTGTACTCATTTGCTAGGTGATCTTGGACAAATCCCTTCATTTCTGGGTCTTAGTTTTTCCCCACCTGCAAAATAAGGGTGCTGGAAAGCATAAAGGCACTACCCCTTCCACTCTAATAATAGTCTGACACCCCCAATTTAGTCACATGTATTTCCTCCCATTCCCTGTCTCATCACCCTACTCTTTTCCTTCAGAGCACACAGTACTTGCTCTAGAGGATTTATTCCAGTCTAGCTGTTCACAGTTGGTCTTCCCCACTTGACTGTCACTCCCATGAGTAAAAGAAGCACACCTCGTTTTTACCACAACTGTATTTCAGCACCTAAAAGAGGACCCAGCAATTATTAAGTGTATAATAAACGTTCAATACAATGTTCTTTTTAAAAGATTATTCACTGACACTAAGATGCCACTTTTAAGAAGTACAATGGGGAAGTAAGTCCCAATAGGTAAACTTCACTAAGATATTTAGAAGAAATGAGATTGCATCCCTTAATTTAAAACTTATCTATGGCTTAGTCCATGGGAACTATGTGGTGTGACAGAGAGGACCTCACGTGAGGACATAAATCACCACCCATTGGCAAGATTCACATTACCATCGCAGGGGAAAAGGAACTGGCAGGATACATGGGCTCATTCTCCAAGCTCACCAGTTACCTCCTCAAATCAATAATGTACTCTTTACACACTTATTTTATTGACTTCTGGTATGCAAAATTAGATTAAGCATAATCCTAGGTTTATGATATCCTCTTATTAGTCCCTAAATATCCGGTATGGTTAGTCAGTCATTTTAATGATATAATTGGCAACCATAAAAACATTACCTATAACAAAATTAAATACCTGAATAATAACTTACATAACTATATACTCGCCCCCATCTTAGGAACCCATTATGAATCCTACATTCATTGTGTGCTTTTGCTTTAAAATTAGTTGGTGATCTCACTTTACTATTAATAACACCAAAGACAGACAAAGAAGAAAAACTTATTTTAGTGGAACTAAATCAATAGAACAGATATATAAATCAATTTTATATATCCCATATTTTCAAATGTGGACAGTGGTCTCTATTTTCCAAGCTGTTCAACATAATGCTAATTACCCAGAGATTCTCTTATCCAGCAAGCATTACCATTAAAAAACACATTCAGGAACTGAGAACTGGCACAGTTGCTCACACTGTAATCACTCTGGGAGGCCTCGGCAGGAGGATCACTTGAGCTCAGGAGTTTGAGACCAGCCTGAGCAAGAGCAAGACCCCATCACTACTAAAAATATTAAAAATTAGCCAAACATGGTGGAGCAAGCCTGTAATCTCAGATAGTTGGAAGGCTGAGGCAGGAAGATCCCTTGAGCCCATGAGTTGGAGGTTGTAGTGAGCCATGATAACACCATTGCACTCTAGTCAGGGCGACAGAGTAAGACTCTGTCACCAAAACAAACAAATAAAAAAGACTGAGAACTATGAAAAATATATCATCTGAGCATTGAAAGATAGGTTTATCAAGGTTTATGCTTTAAATATCTGCACATAGAAGAGCCTCCTAACACACAAGTGATGAAGCAGTAATTTAGAAAAAGAAGGGGTGAGGGTATATTTAACAAATCCCTTTGTCAAAAGTTCTTTACCAAAAGACCCAATGTGCAGCATAAAATAGGCACCAAAGGATCTAGAATCACTCAACTAAAAGCAAATGAGACTTCAAATCAGTGGTACTAAGCAAATCCTAGTTTATAACAATACACTGTTATATGTCAATGTTGGTGACACTGTCAGCAACATACCAGCTGAAGTTACGTTCAGTACCCTGTCCCTAAAACGCTGAAAGTTCTCAAAATATTAAGAATGGAGATAAGTCTGAGTTAGCTGGAAACTTTAGTTATGGAGAAAGAATTTATCCTCTCTTTTTTTTTTTTTTTTTGAGACAGAGTCTCACTTTGTTGCCCGGGCTAGAGTGCCGTGGCGTCAGCCTAGCTCACAGCAACCTCAAACTCCTGGGCTCAAGCAATCCTACTGCCTCAGCCTCCCAAGTAGCTGGGACTACAGGCATGTGCCACCATGCCCGGCTAATTTTTTCTATATATTTTTAGCTGTCCAATTAATTTCTTTCTATTTTTGGTAGAGACGGGGTCTCGCTCTTGCTCAGGCTGGTCTCGAACTCCTGAGCTCAAACAATCTGCCCGCCTTGGCCTCCCAGAGTGCTAGGATTACAGGCGTGAGCCACCGCGCCCAGCCATATCCTCTCTTGATAATGAATCCTTAAGTGAAACAATAGGGAAAAATCACTGGCACAATCTCACAAAAGGAAACAAAACAAAATTAAACAATTATTTTATCAAATAGTATAACATTTTTTACTCCTTATCTGGAATCTTGGCACATGTTTAAAAAGACATTAAAGTTGACATCTATTGTTATCTTTCATTGAATACCTTATTTAATTCTTCTTTGGTGAGAGATGCCAAAAGGGTCTTTCTGAATTTTCCTTCTTTATATTTCTGAGTAATAAAGTTTTTTCTCTGTTCTACTGGTGAGTCCATGTGTAATTCTTCATCCTTTTGGAGATTACCAGCCCAAAAGTCATTTGCTCTCTTGTTTCCAATCACAATAAAAAGCTGCATGTCAAAAAATTACAAGACATCTCAGTTCATAAAATGTATGAATTTGTAGAAAACTGCATCATATTACAAATTAAAGCATAATTTACTAGAAAATACAAGAAAATACATGAAAGAGTGAACTCTATCAAAAAATGAAGTGTGAAAGCAGTTACTATATCTATTTTTAATACAGCCTAGCTACTCTGAATAATGGTAAAAAAATTAGCTTAGAAAGAACTGCAAACAACACAATTACAGCAAAAGTGTTTTTTATCCTTTGAAACTCGTATTTAGACAGATACATTTCCAAGGGCTGAATAGCTGGGCTAACGCTATCTAAAGCAAGCAGCAGGGGAACACGAGCAGAAAATGGAGATAGGATACAGCACGTTAGACTCAATCACAGTTAATGACGAGCATGGCCAAGAGAAAGAACAGTAAATTCTGCCAAATGTTTTCATTCACTTTTCTGATATCTTATCCATGGTGGGTTAGAAAGAGAGTTCTAACTTTTTTAAAAAAAAGCGGTCAAGCCTTTAAAAGGAGTTATTACCATTAAAGCTCGTTGTACTGTTTATTTTTAAAATAACTATCTCATTTAGGAAGCATTCCGAAAGAGTTACTACTATCAAAAACACTACAAGCCATTTTCATGATGTGATGAGAACTTCATCAAAGAGCTCCTAGAAAAATTCACAACACCCACTGCACACCTCTTCACAGTCTCTGCTGACCCCCCACAGTTAAATAGGACTTACCTCTATGAGTTCATTACTCCAAATGCTGGCGTCCATTTTTAGACTTCTAACCTTGGAATCTTTTGGTCCCAAAGATCTGTGTTGTCCTAAAGAAAAAAAAAAAAAAAAAAAAAGAAAAAAATGCATTTCTATTTTAATTTGTACATAAATTTATTTTACCTTTTTTAAAAAGGTGTATATGTATGTGTGCATGTATGTGTGTATCTTCTCAACTTAAAACACACCAATGTCTGCTTTCCTAGATGCCAACTGCACTAAGAGTAGTGGTGGTGATTACACAGAAATGATAACCAGCCCCAATAAAGACGACAGCAATCGCCTTCGTCAGCACCCTGCATTGTTATAAAACCACACTTTTAAAAGAATATATAGATGTGTGTGTATACAGACATAAATAATTTTTCCTCATTTGGTAATTAGCTAGAAATCACATGCCACTGAAAACCGTTTATAATGTGTCTGTTAAAGTCCCATGTACATAAATACGGATACTACTCCCTTACTATTACAAATACTTTACTATTGTAAAACTAGCTATGACGTTATAAGTATGTACTTAAATATCTGATGTCGATTCTTCATTCTACTATCACGTCTGGACAAGGCGAGAGCCTAGCATTCTGTTACCGTCAATTCAACTGCGCCATAAACCACCATTCGGTCACCACTGAGCACCCAGGGGTATGGCAAAGGATTTCTAAGCTGAGAAGGAAAAACGTTTACAAGTCACTGTCCTTGATCTGAAGGACCCTTTTCCTTATGAGCAATGAAAGTTCATTCTTCTCCCTACATAGGGTAAGAGGTTCTTTACCTTCCTTCTTTGAGGTGGAAACTACTTAGAGCACACAGCTTCAGAAGTCCCAAGGCAGGAATTTGCATAGGTTTGCATGTTAAAAGCCTACCTAAAGGCAATACAGTACCGGAAAGGAAAACACTTAGAAGCCTTTAAGAAGAGCTGAGAGGGGCTATCAGAGCAACCTGGGCAAAGAAACTGAGAGTGACTTGAGGCAGCAGCAGGAGAAAAAAAAAAAAAAGAGGGAAAAAAAAGATTTAAAGACAGCAAGAAGGTAAAATAAATGGGACTGGTTGGGCTTTAAGAAAAGAGGAAGAGGAAAGAGGGTCTCTCAGGTTTCAGGCCCAAGTGTAGGGTAAACAGGATTGCTTCTGACCAAGATCAAGAATATCTAAAAATAGGCAGTTTTATACGATGGGGTGGGGGCAGCAACGAAGCCTCCATTTTTGACATGTTATTTTTGAGCAAATCTAAGTAGAGATTCTAGTAGGTAGATAATTATGAGAGTTTGGTGTCCCACAGAGTGAGAATCATCTGCTTGAAAATGAGTATGGAATTCAAGTGATACTCGGGAACAGCAGAGCAAAAGAGACCTGAGAATGCAACCCAAGGGAACACATCTATTTCAGGAGCACGAAGAGAAAACGTAACCCGCAAAAGTATGACTGGTAGTAAGAATACACAGAGAGAAGACAGTCTCTCAGAAGCTGAGGGAGGATGGACATCATAAAGACACATATTGGTCAAGGGTCTCCAATAAAGAGAAGACAATAAAGATGTAAAGTGACCACACAGAAATTGAGAAGTAAAATACATTGGTAAATGTGGTGAAAATATTTTTACTGCAGTAGAGAGGAAAGGAGGCTGATTACAGAACACTGAAGAAAAACTAGGAAGTTAAAGGAATGAAGAAAACCTATGCACATTACTGCTCTTGAAAATATCTTGTCTATGAAAGGAAAAAAGGGACGGAGAATGACATGCAGAAGGGAATGGAACATTTCAGAGATCCTGATGGTGTTAATGAGACAGACTTATGCCAGTTTATAAGATGAACCAAAAGAAACCATGGTGGACTGCTTACACGAGAGAGTGAATAGGTGGCGAGGTGGTGTCTTAAGGAGGGAGGAAAGAAAGGAAGCGTAAGCAGAGAGAGCAGCTGTGGACAGCACGAAGGCGAGCTCTCCCAAAAGGAAAGGAGGGAGACGAATACAAAGAGGAAGGTTGATGAGCTGATTTTTTGTTGCTGTTACGATTGACACTGTTAATTAGCTGGCGAGGAAATCTACCTTACTATGATGAGGAGTGTAGCAGAAGAGAGGTCTAGAAAAGTACCGAGGGTTTGCAGCAACTGTTGAGACTGCAACCCTCATTGTCTGCACTCTAGCTGAGTTAGGTGGTCCTCGCCTACATTCTCTCATTGAACAGCTCTAGTCCTGCACTTACCACTCTCTATTGTAATTATATTTGTATATTTGTGGAGGAAATGTCATGTCTTATACATCTTTTTAATTCCCCATACTAGACCAGTAGCTGGTATTCTAGGTGAATTCTCTCTCCCCGCTCCGTGTGTGTGTGCACCTGTGGGTGCGTGTGTGGGAGTAGGGGGAAAGGTAGTCTTGGAAAACTGAAGTGAAGTTTTAGACCGTGCTTAGCTCTCTGCAAGACCTCTATGACCACGTACTTAAGGAAACCAGTCATAGTCACAGGACCGGTTATTTTCATAAACATCCATACTCTTGTGAAATGCTTCTACATAAACATTTTTATTATAAGATATAGAAGATCTGGCATACAAAGTTTAGAGCTCAAAACAAGTTTGATGTGAACAATGCGTCTTACAAAAAGTGACGGGAAAAATGGACAAATCTTGCAGCAAGGTGTAAGCCTGTTCAGGATACATTCTGAAATATACTCACCTAAAATCTAGAAATTTCAACATTGTCTTTTTAAAATCCGTATGTGGACTAGTAGGCACAAAATATGATTACATGCTTAAAAATCAATTTTTACATGTAAGTCATGCATAAGAGAAGTTTAGGGTCATGAGATATTTCTGAATTTGATTGAAATGTAATAAGCTTTCCCTGGTATGACTGCACAACCATTAGCTAGGACACATTATATATGACAACAAAAAGCATTCGGTGCCAATCTGCCACAGAGCAGTGATGAGCATAACTTCTCACTAATTACCTGCACACTTCTTGCAGATGACAACACAGAGATTGATGGATGCCCAGTCTGGATCTGGGGCTTTGCAATCTGCACAGCTCCTGTTGGACTCATTGAACCAAATCTTCTCAGCTACTTCATAATCAGAGAGAGTTTCTGCTATCGACTGCTGCACAGCTTCAATCCAGTCTTGTTTCTCTTTTTCAGACTCTGCCGTAAAGCTGAAACAATTAACATTTCTGCGTTATCGATCTCCCTTGTAAAGGCCAATTAAGTAGTATGTTCAGCTTGCCTATAAATTTCACTCCCAAATTAAAGAGCAGCTGAAAAATAGGCCTTCTAGGCAGTAGTGGATTGTCTTTCCTGTTGAAAATCATCGACTTTAACAAACCTTTCCTCTTCCCTTTCATTTTCCTCATTCCTTATGACTTCATTTTCATGTCTTGAACAAAAGTTAATGTATGCATTTTTATGGCCAAGATATAAAAATTGCCTTGTTAGGTCAAAAGCCTAAACAAGAGGCCATGTTTCCTAAGCAACGCTTATATAATAATCAGTAAGAGATTGGCTGAGTTTCAGGACTATTGGAATATTTTGCCAAGCAAGCATGCCATGACAGTCTGAAACTCCATTATCAAAAATGCCCACCAGAAATTGTGATTTTTCTTTTCAGGCATAAAAAATAGATCCTTTTTTGTAATTAGAAAAATGTCCAGATGGCTTTAAGAAACTGAGAAATCAAAAAAAGTTGGAAGTGGTTACTATTCTAACAGATTTCTAACACATTTTTAGCCACGTTCTCATTTATTCTGATTCTCAGTGTTTATTGGGTGTTTTAGTGAAGAGAAAAAACATTAAACAGCAGTTCACTCCTTCAAGAAATATTTACTGAGCACCTACAATGTATCAGGGAATGTATTATACTACAGTCTACATACTTGGTCCATGACCCACAAAGTGATTCTTCACAATAAAATATTCTTTCTAAAGATGAAAATGCTTTGAAATATAATGAAAATAACAGATGGCTGACATATTCTAAATAACCCACAAAAATGAGTGGTCTACATGGATACTTTTTGAAGCACTTTATGATTCCATTATCATTATAATACTCATAAAATTCTGAGTTGTCTCTGGTTCTACCAGAAACTGGTCACAGCCAATATATATTTACATTTTCAGTTGAGGCTAGAATCCACATATTTGAAAATAAAGCTTATTATTTTTATGAGATCATTTTTTTCTCAAAATTTGAGCCAGTGGACATATTTTGACAGACAAAATGCGCAACGGATTTGGTAGTAACTTTGAAATTTCTAAGTAACTGTCAGTTCTTCAAAAGCCTAGAATAACTGTCTCTGCCTATACACTACCCACTACCATGTGTTATTTATAATAAATGACTTAATGTAGGTGAACGTAATAGACATTGACTTATGTCTATTCTGTATAATAAACCTATGGAGTCATTATAATTTATTGAACTATATTAAGGACTTTAAATATTCTTTTCATTGTCATGATGCAATTAGTAGAATACCACAATGTAAGATATGGAATAAAATGCTAAAATATTTGGATCAATAAGTGCTATGAGGTCCATTAAATTCAAGATAACTTTAAGCTGAGTCCCTGAGGAAATCGTATGGAACAACTATAATTAGGAATTGATCTTAAATGAGAGACTATATTTGATTAGTATAAAAAGAGGGCAAATAACAATTTGAAAACGAGGTAACATGTTTTTCCAATTTTATTCCTTCTAAATGTAAAGGAACATATCAGCATATTTTTTGATAAAGAATTAACATATTCACCAAGCCTACTAAGTAAAAGAGGTATTAAAAAACTACTCAAATTTCATGAAATGAATATCTTTTCAGGTTGCATGATTATTCAGGTCATGCTTATGAGGTATTTTTATATACTGGCTAATAAATTAGACAATATGGAAAAGTAAGAAGATAATTTTGTGTCCTCTAAGACATAAAATCACTACTAGGAATATACAGGTAGATCACCCAAGCTTTCCTGTAGCAGTACAAACACAAAATACCTGAAAATAGCTTACCTGAAACTCCTATAGGGAGTGATTATTTCAAAAGATTGTTTCACAGTTCGGTCCACTTGCTTTACATTTGCTACATTCATAGGAATTATGGTAATACCAAGTCCACTCTTAAAATCCTAGTTTGGAGAAAAACATTAAAAACTATCAAGAAACTAAAAAGATCGATTTTGAAAACATGATATTTTCTAAAATACAATAAACCATACCAAATTTTACTATACGTATGCATATGGAATTAAAAAATCCATTAGGAAATAGATTGAGAGTGATTTTCTTATTTTAGATCGTCACTTTCAATACAGAACAATACTGTCCCATATTAAACTTGACAGTCAGGCTACTGATAAAGTTTGGGTTTCTTTCGCAGGAAAGATAAATTGACTAGGCCATAGATACTGAGCTACATGTGCTTTGCTTTTGAAAGCAGGCACTATATTCATCCTTATCCATTCAGTAAAGGACACTAACAGTTAACTTTACCACATAACGTGGCGGAGCCAATGACATCATGGGGTTAGTATAATTATTGTTTATATGAAAAGATGGAGAAACCAAGGCCCAAAGAGATGAAGTTACATGGCAAGTGCAGCTAGTCGTACGTGGCAGAAGGGCGTAGGAGGCCAAGCTGTCTGATGGCTCTTGTTTCACTACACTGGATTCCCTCCACTGTGCCACGTTATTTTCTCCTCAGTTACTCTCAAACGAAAGCATTACTTGTTTTATGAAGTATACAATTTTATCTCGTTTCCAATATTTTATTTCTTTCCTTTTCCTTTAATCAGATTCTTAAAGAGCTCCTCTAATGCTACTTTGGCATAAAAACTGCCATTTGTTCAACGTCTATAGTCACTGTTCAGCTTGTCTCAAGAAGACTAGAAATCGTTCAAGTGGTGAAAGGAGAGCCCGCATTCTAAAAGCATTAAAGTTTGCAATATGTCATCTGCTCATATGGGCTTTGGAATCTGACTTACCAATTAAATAATGCCAACACTTCGTAAACTATAATCTGTACCTCAAAAAACGAATTACCTCTGTGAACAGATTTTTATTAAATGTGTTCTCAATTCATTAATTAAATTATGACTAGGAAAATGCAGTATATTAAAGGCAAAATACAAAAAATATTGGTCCGTTTTCAATGAGAACACTTGGCAGAGACTGGGAAAGAACCTATTCGCCGGCTTCTTCTCTTTGTCTCTCCTGCTATAAAGGCTAAAAGTACTATTTTCCCATCTCCCCTACACCTAGGAGTGGCCATATATTGTAGTTTGAGTCAATAAAACATAAATAATTCCTGGTGGGAAAGACAGGGAAAGGCAGAAAAACCTTAGAAGAAGAAAGCCTTTCACCCTTGCCTTTCCGTCTTCTTGGGAAATGACATCTAGAAGAACAGAAGCCATTTTAGAACTTTAGAACCCTTGAGAAGACAAATTCCTATACTCTATGGATGCCAAAGTGAGGAGGAAAAAAAAAAACAGGAAAAATCCTGTTTCCTGGTAGCATCAACTCAACTCTCTACTGCCTACACCAAACGGTTTGTTAAAACAAATCCCTATCTAATATTTAAGCTATCCTTCAGGTTTTTGTCGTTTAATACTAATGCATTCCTGACTGAAGTGAAAAAAAAAATTAAAACAAATTTTCCTCCATTTCTAGGGTATCCAGAGTTTCTGGCCACAAATTGTGGAAAATCTTCTCTAACATATAAAGTTTTTAGTTAGGATAAGAAAATGACTCATTTAGAAAAGAAATCATCAATTGGATGTTATTTTTTTTTTCCAGATGAAAGAACAAATAGGCTCATTTTGTTTGGAGAAACAAGCCAGAAATTGAGAATCAGTTATATAAAAGAAAAGAAGCAGAGAAATGCTGAGTGTTGTAAAATAACTAGAATGGCAGTAATGTACTTCCACTTTGTATAGTAAAACCACTCAATGAAAAATGCTTGACATTATCTATGAGAGAAGGAAAAATCAAGTTTTTCCAATCCCACATTTTAATAAGTTTCAGAATATCTGTACAGGGCTAAACTTTTTTATTAAATAATAATAAGAAAAAAAGTTCCCAGTGATCTATACCGATGTTCCTGCTAAATAACATAACTGCTGGATAAACTCCCAGTGCATGTGGTTGGGAACTCAAGCTCTCTTTCGTAAGTGAGGAAATAAGGTAGGAGTAGCAAGATATGATTATTTTTAAAACAGCTTTCTGATGACTCACCTTGATACAGGGGTGAACTCTAGAATAAATACTTGGACTGTACATCCTTCAAACAACTCTCCTTGAGGCTTCTGACAAGCGCTAGCTGTCAGATCACTCCAGGGCATATTCCTGGTGGGGGCCCGGCCTGCAAGTGCTGCGTGGTCACTGCCGACAGAGGCACATAAAGCTCTGACCACCACACTAGCGGCTGGTAAGAATGACAACCCTTTATGAAAACTAATGAGCCTCATCAAGGTTCCTGCCTAAATAGATGGCCCCTCATCTCCACAAGCACGTCTTGAGATATCTACATATAAATCTGTAATTTCTATTAAAATAAGTGAGGGCCAGCTCAACACCCTAAATTTCTCCCAAGCAAAGCAAAGATGATTTTTTTACTCTGGAAAATTGTAGACCATTTATCAGTTGCTTGCCATGGCCATATGGTTTTGAGTAATTAGAGTATCCACAGAACTCACCAGCACAAATTGACTATAAAATGTACATCAGAGTAACAAAATAAATGTCAGTGCTCTTGAGAGCTATTAAATATGAAACAACTGCATTTTCTATGAAAAATATTTTTGGTGACATTAAGCTGTGTTTTTTCAGACAGTATTTAGAACATATTCAGAATATTTCTTATTCCTGGATGCTCTTCACAATTACTCATGGCAATCTCTCCCTCCCACCCTGCGACTCCAATTCCATGAATCTGAGGGCACAACCTGAGGATCTTTAATATACAAAACTACAGCCCCATGATTTTCATATGTGGCCAATACTAAGAAACACTGATTTAGAAAGCAGAACTAGTTGGAGAATTTACACAGTATGAGTATACAATATTTAAATATCAGGACACAAACACTTCTCTCTGCCTTTTTTAGAATAAAAAAAAAAACAAACATGTCATCACAATATACAAAAACCATTTCAAATCATTAAGACTATTAGTTTAAAATAAGCAGGCCAGAACAAAATGACATGTTGCATTGACAAGATCCTATTTGTCCTGGGTGCAAACTCCTGTGCTAATGTCCACAGACTTTAAAAGCATCATCTTCATTAAGCATATGGTGTATTCCACAATTGATTTAATATCTATTTGTGTGTGCTCTGAAGTTTATAAACAGCTACGAACTCTCATTTGATATTCTAAATCAGCGGTCCCCAACCTTTCTGGCACCAGGGACCAGTTTCATGGAAGACAATTTTCCACAGACTGGGTAGGGGTGGAGGGTGTTATCGGGCAGTGATGCGAGCGATGGGGAGCAGCTGCAAGTACGGATGAAGCTTCGCTTGCCACGTATCTCCTGCTTGAGCCCCCTTCCCCATTCCTAAGTTTCAGGTAAGGCAACTGTTCTACTGAGGTGGGGTGGGGGATGGAAGAGCTGTCGCTAACAGGCCATGGACCAGTACAAGTCCATGGCCTGGGGATTGCGGACCACAGTTAAATAATTCTGTGAATTAGGCAGAGCAGATACAGAAATTTTTTAAATGGTATAATTACTCCTGGCAAAGCAGTGCTTATTAAGTACCTAGTATATGCCAGAAATGGTGCCAAGACCTGGGTCTGCACAACTACATAAGTTAAGGTCCCAGCCTTGGGGAAGCTCACGGTCTAAGGAGGGAATGAGAGAAAGTTGTAATAAGTATAATGGAAGAAAAATGCCTCCTTGTAGGGTAAGCACAGAATTCAGCCCAGAAAAGAGAGAGAGTCGTGTTCCTAAAAGCCTTTCCAAAGGCTGTGACACTTGACTGGCCAAAGGACAAACCCTGGACCAGCCCAATGTTCAAGCATCCGTCTCCTGCTTCAGTTCTCTTGTCCACGAGAGAGGTCTACAGTAGTAGCTACAGCATCACTTTAGTGAGGATTACGTTAATTCAGTCAAAATGCTTGAAAGAATGCCTGGCACACAGTGTGTGCTACAGAGGACTGGTTAACTATTATTAGTATTGTTATTTTGTACCTTTAGAATTTGAAACCAACCGAACATATTACTATTTAAACATTAATTACCAAAAATACATGTTCAAAATTAACTAGCAGGATGCTTTAAAAAACACAATGAAATGTGAATATTAAATATTCAAGAAAATTAAAAATAAATTACCCATTAACCACAATCTGATTGTTAGCTTTATTCTCATTATGAAAAAGAGGCAAGAGCCAGGGACAAGTCAAACTTTCAACCTTTAAAATGTTATAATAAACTGGATTGAAAAAATAGCACAAAAATTCAGTGGGTACAATTACATTATTATAAAAAGTAAAAAGCTAAAAACACATTGTGGAGGAAGCAATATTTTACATTTAATTTGCTGTGCTAGAATGTGGGATCTCAAAAAGCATGAATCCTACCATAGTACTAGCACAGCAATGGCCACGCCTGGCTTAGCCGACCTGGACGCTGCAAGGGTGGTTCAACGACCAAGTGAGCACCGTGGGTCAGAACCGGGAAGGAGTTCTGAGCCTTGCACTGGCTGGCTGTACGACCACTAATGAGTTACTCAGTTTATCTAGACCCCAATTTCCTTAATTATGAAAATAGAGTCTTATCTATCTTATGTGGTATAATTATAAAAATTAAATAAAGCAATATAAATTAAGGGCCTGATACAACCAATTGTTTCATTTGAGGGTTCTAAATTAATTCAGAATTTATCTGCAATAAAAATATTGCCATTTTATTTATAACGACTGAAAGTATTCATACCAACACTTCCATATTAAATATTCAGGTACACTCAATGGTAAATATTTGCCAAGATACTGAAATGGATTATTCATGAGAATTTTCAGCAACAGAACTTGGCGAAAACTATAATACATTTTAAAACTACATAGTGCAAGAACAAAATATAAGTTTGATCCCAAAGAGAAAAATTAAGGTAAGGTTTGTTAACCCCA